TTTTTTTTTTTTTTTTTTTTTTTTTTTTTTATACCTGACAGGCAAATGACTCCACTCCACCTGATGTTAAGTGGAAAGTGGTATCCAAACGCGAAGGAACCTAGTGCAGCGATGGAATCCTCACTGCACTAGCCGCCTCCACCCTGCCTGCCTACAATATGCCTCTTCACGCCTCGTTTGAAGGACCCCATATCATAAGAGGGAGGGAAGACATGTGCCGGAAGGGAGTTCCATTTGTCAACCGTGCGGCAGAGAAAGGAGCCACCGAACCTTTTAGTACGCGATGGAATGCGGCAGGTAGTGAAACGGTGACTACGAAGGCCAGCACGCGTGCTTCTGAGCAGGAACGGGGAAGGGGGGATGAGGTTGAACAGCTCCTCAGAGCACTCACCATGGTACATGCGGTAAAAGGCGCTAAGCGATGCAACATCTCTACGCAGTTGCAGAGGTTCAAGGCGTGATGAGACCTCTTCGTCGCCTATAATTCTAGTAGCACGACGCTGTAATTTATCCAAGGCATCGAGTAGGTACTTGGCGGAGCCGTCCCACAAGTGCGAACAATACTCAACGCAAGACCGGACCTGTGTTTTGTACAACAGGCATAACTGGTCCGGCGTGAAAAAACGTCGCACCTTGTTCAGGACTCCGAGTTTCCGTGAGGCTGTTTTGATCACAGATTCGATGTAGCTCCTTGGATTCAAATCACAGCAGATTTCCATACCGAGCAAGGTGAAACTGCTCTGAGGTGAAAGTGCTGTGCTCATCAGAGAAGGCATGGGAAGGAACGGCGACAATTTTGTTGTTAACGCGCAAACCTGTGTTTTCTTGGCGTTGAACTCAACAAGATTACTGGATCCCCATGCAGATATGAGGTCCAATATCCTATTGAGCTCAACGACAAGATCAGATCGCTCTCTGTCAGTATCGGCGCGCCCAGCTGCGGGGAATCCATGATATCCCCCATGAACAGTGCTATCATCTGCATAACAATGAATATTCCCAAGTGGAAGCATATCATTGATATGCAGAAGGAAAAGCGTGGGAGATAGGACGGATCCCTGCGGTACGCCGGCGTTCACATTCACGAACCTCGAAATGCTGCCGTCAGAAACGACGCGAATTCTCCGCTCACGAAGGAAATCGGCAATCCAGCTGCATAACTGGGCTGGCAAACCGTACGCCGGGAGCTTGGAGAGAAGAGCTTTGTGCCAGACCCGATCGAACGCTTTGGCTATATCGAGGCTAACAGCCAACGATTCGCCACGTTTGTCTATAGCCTCACCCCAAATATGCGATAAGTACGCTAGAAGGTCACCCGTTGATCGTTTCGGACGAAACCCATACTGCCGATCATTAATTATGGAGTGATCTTCTAGGTATTGGGTCAGTTGTTTATTAAGGATCCGCTCTAAAACCTTGCATATTATGGAAGTAATGGCTATGGGACGGTAATTATGCGGGTCTGATCGGTCGCCTTTTTTGGGAACTGGTTGCACATTAGCCTCTCTCCAAGAGTCCGGCACACGACCTGAAGAGAGCGACAGACGATACAGTCGCGTTAGCACGGGAGTCAACTCAGCTGCGCAATTCCTAAGTACAATCGCTGGGATACCATCAGGACCACTAGCTTTCCGGACGTCGAGAGACTGCAGCTGCGTACGCACATCGCATTGTCTGATACGAATATCAGACATCGTGTAGCCACAGTGAGGTAGAGTTGGTGGCTGTGCGTTACAGTCGTCGAGACAGGAGTTAGCCGCAAACAGATTTGCCAAGAGGTCGGCTTTATCTTGCGGCTTGTGGGCTAGATTGCCGTCAGAATATCTCAGCGGTGGCAGCGAGGGCTGGCAGAAGTTCGACGCAACGGCTCTGGCCAGACGCCAGTAGCTACGACTACCTGTGGGATGCGTCAAGAGTTCTTGGCCAACTCGTGCGACGCGCTGAGCATCCGCTCTGATGTACGCTCTTTTGCAAGACCTGGTGGCATTATTGTAGGCTGTTTTAAGTGAGTTCGTATTGGGATCGTCTGAAGCTCGACCCTTGATCCAAGCGCGGTATGCAGTCTGTTTGTTCTCAACAGCCACAGCACACTCGCGGTTGAACCAGCGGTTGCGCCTCCCTTTACTGACGAGATCCGAATGCGGGATGTAGTATTCCATCCCGATTAAGATCTCATCAGCAACGGCAGTCGCGCTAGCTGTTGGATCCACCTCACTAAAACAGCGCTGCCGCCAGGGAACGGATGCAAAATAGTCCCGCATACCGTCCCAATCTGCCGACGCATAATGCCAAATGCGGCGTTTAGCCACAGTAGGTGGTGGTGGCAGTAACGTTGCCACTTTAGTGGATATCAAGCAGTGATCCGAAGTGCCCAGAGGGGCTTGGACCACCACCCGATATCCAGCCGGGCGAGACGTCAGCAGAAGGTCCAACAAAGAGGGCGCGTCACCAACCCTATCTGGAATCCGGGTGGGCTGATTCACCAGTTGGGTTAAATCGTGTGTGAGAGCGAATGTGTGGGCAGTTCTTCCAGCATGGTCAGTTTTAGAGGAACTTAACCACGACTCGTGGTGAGCATTGAAGTCCCCTAAAAACACCAATTCCGCTGTAGGAAACTGCGCCTGCGCGTCATCTGCCGCCCGAGTAAGGTGGTCCATGAGACGAGTTGTCTCCATGTCGCCGTGGTGGGATCTGTAGAGGCACATGTAGACACGGCAATGACTGCCCAGGTCAACATGTACCCCAAGGATGGAGAAGGAGGGGTCCTCCAAATGACGCAGACGGCGACAGCAAACATCTGCCCGGACAAACAAGCAGACCCCAGCTTTCGCTTTGAAGGACTCTTCAAGCATATAGCCAGGGTAATTCAAGTAGCTGCTGTCAGCCGGGCAGAGTATTTGCGTCTCCGTAAGGAACAGCATTTCTGGTCGAGCCGTCTCAAGATGTTGATGGACGGCGTGGATGTTACTGTGGAGTCCTCGAATGTTCGTGAACTCCACCTTAAAGAGCGCTTTAGTGGTGGGGGTGTGCACCGCTGTACGACCGAAATTTGTACTTTGCGCTAACATGTTGGAGGGAAAAAGAGGCGTGAAGCGAGAAAACAGTGCCGCGACACAAGCGGTCAAATCGCGGGGCCTGCTTCCCCAGAGACTTGCCTACAGACAAGTTGCGCTGATCCGCCGGACGGAAGGGCCCCCGAACCCCCCCGGGAATGGCCGCCGGGACCCCACCTCCCGGTCACCAACCGGCACGACGAACCACACCGAGATTATGCGCGGCATGGTGAGGCAGCCTCACGAGCTGGTTAAGCACGCTTGGGCCCCTGTACTGTACCGCGGGCGGCCAGCGGAACAACCGTTTCTACGGGTCTCCCTGGCCGGCGGGTCAATGCAGTTGTCCTGGCACTGGTTCGGCGGAAGCCTCCACAGACCACAAATGTCGCGGCAGCGTTCCCTCGGGCTCTGGTTGTACGCTGACTGATCCCGGAACGCATCCGACTTGCGAATACTTGGCGGGTTTTCCAGCATGCGCACGGTGGTCACTAACCAGGCGGGTTTTCAAGCCCTACCACCAGTGGAGCAGCTGGTTGCTCAATATCCCTTAGTCGCCTCTTACGACACCCACGGGAAGAGAGGGGCGGTGAATTGTATTCTAATCCGTCACCGCACGGCAGAAATTCTTAAATCAAAAAAATTTAAATCGCGTATATTTGTTTTTTCAAACCAACCGACGTTTCGGGCCCTTTACAACTTTACTTTACTTTTCGAGGTTTGTTTAAAAAAACAAAATTTAAAAATACGCGATTTAAATCCGGAAAAATAGTTTCATTTCATATGTGTAACAATCGCGAAAACCTAAGAACTCGATAAGTTTATTATATGTTACGTCTTTAAAATTGTTTTTGTCGAGTAAAGACTCCATGTTCGCAGGAAGAGCTTCTTTTTCACATTCTTCTCAATGTGATCCCGTCTTATCTATGTTGCAAGCTCAGTATAGCATATTGTAAAACAATCATGATCATCATCTACCGGCAAAACTAATGAACAAGAAGATATTTTTCCTGTAAAACCAGGAACCAACTAGTTTTGATTTGCCTTTCTTCTTATTGACAAAACAAATGGGTATTTCACCTCCATCTCACGCGATGGAAAATGACGATTAGGTCGACGATGGAGCGTGCACACATATACGCACAATGGCTCTTTATTCTCGCCTTGCAAAGGCCCAAGTTATATCGTTCAGGAAATAAATCCACAGACACGGAGTTCAACTCCGAAACCATATACCAAATAAATGTGGAAACGAACCGCTTCGTGCGGATCTTGGGTGTATTCATAATATTGGAACCCCAGCCTAAGTTTAATTAGACCCCCGATAATGGAAAGAGGTTGGCTGAATTTTTCATGCAATTCTGGCGCACATTCTCCGTGATATATGGTGTAGAATCCCGACAAGCATACAACTTTATAGCGGTGCTCAAGGTTCTGCAGCATCGCGTCTACTACGTACGAGCAACCGATAAGCGGATAAAGATTCTCAATGGAATCCAAGATGGCAAGTTGGTATTTAGCAGATTCTTCCCGTAGATAACAGCAGTACTCCATGCACAACCAGGAGGCTGTCTAGCTATCGGTAAGGATATATCACAAAAGTTGAAGTCGGGTGACTCCGTTTTATCGAGAATAAACACCCCTGCGTTTTGGTAGCGTTAAATTTGACAAGGTTGGCGTCGCTCCAATCGGAGACTGCCTTAAGCGTCAAATCTAAGCGACTAACCTTGGACTCTCGACAAGACCGGATTTCGTCACCACTGGCTCTTGCAATAGATAAGCATATATCCACAACTGTGCTGTCATCAGCATACCTACACGAAGGTGCCTGGAATTAACGTACCACTGATAAGCAGCAGAAAAAGAGTTGCGAACAATACGGAACCCTGAGGAACTCCAACGTTTGTGCCCATTGTTCAAAAGAGTAGCCCATTTTCGTCAGTAAATAAACTGCAAAGGTAAGAGAAAAGTAAAAATGTAGTGTGTACGTACCTGGTCCCTCTCCGTCATAATAAAAGTCTTGCAGGTAGATGGTGCGCGCGTCGACAGCGAAAAGGCGCCCGCGCACGCCGTGGTGCAGTTGCGAAAGCGAGCCCAGCTCGCGACCCCAGTACCGGGCCTGCACTGCGCCCAAGCCACAACACACACCTAAAACAATACAATCAATCATTCAACAATATTTATAAAAACTAATATTTCATTAATATAATCAAACATTTTCTGAACTAATATAGAGTTATTTTTTACATCTTCATATAGCAAAAAAGTGTGAACTTCGGAACAAGCTTTGAAATTTCTGAAAAACATTCTTAAAAACTGATTGTACGAGTATAATAGAATTGGGACGTCTCAAAAATTGCACCGCGGATGCTGAATGAGGAGGTCCCTCCCGGCTTCGATACTCGGTAAGACCGATTTGGCAAATGAACTTTTTTAAATTAATAACTGGGCTGGGTGTTCAGGGTAATGCCCCGGATTGAACTCGGTTGCTCTGTACTCATAAAACGGAGAATTCCCTAGTTTCAGACCAAGTACGTGGTGTGGTTTAAAAAATATAGAAAACTTGATAAGTTCGTGCGAAAAAAAATTTGGTGCGTTCTTGGCCATGCGCAATGCGCGGGTCGCTAAATTGCAAATATCAGCAGATTGTACTTCTAAATAATAGGTGAATTGTGATAGGCGCACTGTAGTGTTTTAGTACGTAAGTTTTAAGAAACGTTTTTGGACAGTTTCCCTTACAGCTGCAAGTCAACCATAAATACTTAGCGGCAAATTAGATTCAAAGTTTTCACTTTCATCAACGAAAAGAAATGTTTCCGTTGACACAAATTTCGAATAAATAGAAAACTCACAATATTTATTACAATAATATTAATATACCAATAGACTACTGAAATAGCAAATACTAAATCAACGGATTGGCAAAAGTCGGACGCGCGATTCCACTGCAGCTGCTGACTCATCACCGGGCGCTGGCGCTGGCTGGTTACACTTTTTTATTTAATTTTGTTCGTTAAATTGGTCCAGCTTCAATTATATTTGGGTTCACTATGACTTCGTAATTTTATAATTGGCGATGCAAGACATAGAGAAGGGGATTTTATTAGAATTAAGAAAGTGGCTAGTTATGGAGTACACGAGAAAGTGCTTAGAATGTCAATGGCCACCGCAACGGCCACGGAACGAGTGCATATGGTCCATCAAGATACCATCTCAGCTTCATTTTCTTTAAGCTTATCAGATTAGTAGTTAGTGGGAGCTTGGCCGGCAACAATGGAACATAGTAAAAGCGTCGAGTACCCACAAAAAAGGAATTACCAAGATCTAATACATTATGCGCATAAGTACTGGCCAATACATCCTAATCTACTATTTTTTTCACAATATTTGCATGCGACGTTGAAATCGTTAGAAAGTTTTCTTATAAATTAAATTTTTAAAATTTAAAACAAGGTTGAGAAGTAGCACCATTGTGCGTGAGCAGGGCAAATTTTGTATTATTTTGTAGAAAAAAGTACTTCCTAATATTAAAAGAAAACACACTGCTAATGATTATTAAAACCGACGCGACGTAATGAAGCAACATAACATAATCCTCGGTACAACACCAGCTGCAAAGTGGTCCGACCTCCGCAGAATCGCCGTGGCCGCTTTCCTCACATCTCATAGATTAAACGTCATATGAAACTCTCGAATCGCTGTTAGCCATACGTTTTACGAAAATGCAACGCTTTCTCCATTGAATAAGTTATGTTTATAAGTACTTAGTATCTGCTGTGTTGGACTGGTATGTGACGTCACCGCAGAGTAACAATGTCCAAACACAAAGTTTCACTATTTAATATAGCACTTGTATTATTTTACATTATGCGAAATGTTTTGCGAATGAAGAAGAATTTAACACGATAGCTCAAATGTGGTGCCGCGGTGAGCATTGTATGTAACAACCTAACTGAACGTGGTTTCACTCAGTAGAATTGAAAGTACTTCAATGTATCTTTAAAAACAGCATACTACAAAAAAATTATTATTATGTTACATAAATAATTTTTTTTTTTAATTATTATTATGCACAAATATTATGTAACAGTTGACAGATAAAGCTAATAGCGAACGCGTATAAAAGTGTAAAATGTACTTTAAACATTTATCTATTTTAATAACAAGTACGACAAAGTGGTTTACAGTACCGATGGCAAACGTGGTCTGTGCGGTAACTCTTAAACAAGAAATGACCTCGTCTGTCGTTCTAAATATTCAGGGTACAAGCCAGGTTTCTTTGCTTTTGGTTTGAATCCTATTTAAATTCTGAGAAATCCATTAAAACATAAAAGAGGCGCTAGAGGGGCGTTATCACAATCGGCATTAAAAGTCATCTCTATTATGTGCTTCGCTTCATTTAAACCCAACCAGCCTGTAAGTCAATACTCGAACATACGAACTTTCTGCATTCAATATAGATACGTAATGTTTATGAGTAGATTTTACGTGGCAACTGGTTTTTGTTTACCAAACAAGTTGCGCTGTTATTTATGGCACGGTTAAAACTTTCGCATTCTTAATTCTTCTGATTGATATCACTCAAGGCCGCCTCGTATTTTCCTTTCATGGACATGAAATATTTTATTACAATTCCCAGCGCTTTCTCCGTAATCTGCTGTAATTTGACCAGGTGCAACGTGCGAATGCTGATGCAGTTTCCCAACTAGTAGTCGGTTACAGCACTAAGTGTACAGTGAATGCAATTTTATAGAGTAGGGATTGCGGAGACCACAATCGTTCAGTGAGAACATAGCGGGATGACAATCTTCAAGCGTGGCAAATAGTGGCGATAGTTGGCGTGCGTGACCACCGCGCAATTCAGAAGGTATGTTGCGGCAGAATGTATTGTCTTGCGCCAATTCATACAGAAGTACTTGCTACCATAATATATGATGACGACAAATGCATGTCTCAATAGAATAAACCAACTGCTAAAAAATTACATGATTTCACGTACATTTACACGGATCGATTTATTTTCATGTGCTTCAATTGCCTAGAAATAACGTTTCCTCGATAAACTTCAGTCAATTTAAGCTCAACTGTTAAAATTAAGAATATCAAAAAGTCTACAACTCTACAATACAAAACCAACATTACCATACAAACAGAATCGTCGGCGGTGATCAGTACGAGTGCAGTTGTGTACACATTTGGCGTTGAGAAGCGATTATATCAATCACTACCTATCAGGTCACTTTCGCTTTCTTGTCCGACTTTCCTCGACCACTAAACGAAGTCATTATTTCTGTTGTGATACGTCTATCACCAGCATTAGCAGTGTCGCGACATGCTCTTCAGTATAACCGAGATCACTTTACAGGACCACCAGTTTCTTTGCTGTATTTTGTAAACATGCTCGTTGTAATAAACCTTTACACTTTGTGAGTTTAGTTCGTCTCACGGTGGACTGCAAAATACCTTAATAAAATGCATGATGTAAATGAGCTAGTTACAAGCAGTTATCCATTCACGCCCCTGGTTGTTACATAAATCGCATTGACTACGGCGTCTGATCGTCGCAGTAGCATGCACGTAATGGTCGCACACAGGCGCATGTGCACGCCTCACACATCTGATCACTTTCGCCACCACCTCGCGCCTTCCCCGCGCAGCCGCTCTCACTTTCCTCGCGTCGCATATTTGCTCTGACAAACAAGTAATTACATTAGCGCATCGCTTTTGATTGATTGATGTTCCCCTTCCATTTTCCAATAAAGTAACATCTACGACGACGTCGTGCTCTGGAGCCTTCCACTAGAAACTGTCATACTTACTTAGTTAATTTTAACTAACGACATTGTTTGTACTTAATTCGTATTACTGTCCACAGTTGATTGGAGTGACATTATTTTCGCCTGATCTGATCATGCACTAAGAAATAATAAAGACAACATAGGTGCCAAATAAACCTTCTAAAGAATGACCATGTACGTCAATTCGAAACTAGGCGTTTTTTCTTTCTAAATCGCAATTATTCACTGTATTTATCAGCATTTAATTATGACCTTGAAAAGTTGCTGCTCGGAGCAAAAAGGCTGAAACGGAGCTGTTTTCGTAGTTTTTTAAGTCAATTAGCGTGAACAATAACCGCAATGGTTGAACGGTTACCATGCCGGACTGACACACAGAGGTCCCAGGTTCGGTTCCCGCGCCGGGAGAAATACTTTATACTAAAAATTAAAATTAATTTTATTTCGGACAACGTGTTCCATAATTTGTTAGCAATAATAACGTAAAAAGTGGTTATAAATTAGTGTGAGTGGATATTTTTTTTACATTATCTTTTTCAAATCACCTTCCTCGTGAAGCGTTGCGACATGGGAGAGGTAATCCTACCAGCCACAGTATGTAGGATGCTGTTGGTGCTATCCCGTACTCTGCGCATCAGGGATGCTGTCTTTTTCCGGAAGATGGCAGCAAAACCATCCGTCTCATACTCTGCAAACCTCACCGATGCATTCTGCAATGCAGAATGAGGCAAACGAGGCAGTCCCAACATCATCCAGAAAAAATTATTGTACTGTACACGTAGGGTCTCCAACGGCTGTTTGGTGTAATAGGCTCCCAGTGTAGAAACTTTGACAGTTCCATGAACAGCTGCGCTATCTCTCTTTGGTCACTCTTACCCTCCGCGCTCATGGGGGGCCAGGCCTAATATTCAGTTCACCAATCGATTTCCAGAAGGTCTGAAAATCTTTTGCTGCACGCTCTTTTGCTATTTTATCTATTGTTAACTGGTCCTGGTGTTTCTGAATTCAAACCACTTCAGACAGCTCTTAAAGATTTTACGAGTGTCGCACATTTGCTAGTAAATTTCGCTTAAATTGGGTCTGTTACTCATCAACCAGGTCTTGAATTTAAGCATGGCCTCCTCGAGCGCGGCCCGTACGTATGTGTTCCAGCCTAGGTTCCACGATTCCACGCTGCCTCGTTCGTACAGCCACGTCAGTCATTGTATCCACTATAACACTACACAACCTGTCCAGAACAGACTTGTGCTCAGTCAAACCACACAGCCCATGACCGCATCCCACAAACTCTTGCGGAAATCACGGAAATGTCACGAAAAGTATTATTGCATTTATCACTCTTCTATCATATTT